CTTTGTAGACCAGGCTAGCCTCAAACTCACAGAGATCCTCCTGCCTCTGCCTCCTGAGTGCTGGGATTAAAGGCACGCGCCACCACCTCCAGGCTGTGATCTTTTTATTTATATAGAGACAAGGTCTCGTGTAGCCCAAACTGTATTTGAACTTGCTGCTGATCCTTGCCCTTCTGCTCCTCAGGTCCACCTATCATGAGCTGAGATTACAGGCACGTACCATCATGCAGTGCCAGGATCAAACCCAGAGCTCCGTGCATGCCAGGCAAGCTCTACCGGCCCAACTACACACTCTGGGGGAGATTTTATAGTGAGAAGCTAGGTCATGCAAAATGCTATGAAAGGGCTTTCTTGGGAGTCACAGGGCCTGGCAAGAGGCCTTGGGGCAGTAAAGAGAAGAAACGCAGGTGCTTAGAAGCCTGTCTCTTTAGAGGATACTCCAGTGGTCTTCTCAGCCAGCAGCCAGCCTTGGCCACCCCAAGTGGAACTGGCTGCCCTACCTGCCCCACTCAGGCAGACCTCACCGGTGCAGACCGGTCCCCAGAGGCACAGCTCTGCAGATCCTTCTCGCTCAGCTCGGGGTCACTGGGGTCTAGTGGGACTTTTGGAAGGACTCGGCCCCTTCCGAACGCACAGCATCTCAGTTTCCCCTGCATCTCTCCTGGTGACCCCTTGTATCTCTGTATCTACTGACTGACCTGGCCTACCTCCTAAGGGAAATTACTGTCTGTTAATCTCACTGAAATTTATTTTCTTTTAGAGATTGTCAAATATGCCTTAATTACAGGTTGTTTTTCTGTTAAGTGTCTGCCTCTGCTCCAGACAAGGAGCAACACTGGCAAGGCGTAGTACACAGCCCAACTTCCTACTAGGGCCTGGAAGAATCCAGAGTGGCAATCAGTCACTGTGTATGAAGGCAGGAAGTGCCTCAGATGAGCTGTGTGGTGGTCTGGGCCAGTTTGCAGTACACTGGGAACCTCAGCTTCTACCCTGGTTGGTGGGGAGGTAGGGGGAGGGGGAGAGGGGGTAAGCCATGTGTCTGGCCTGGGAAGGATACCCATGAATTAGCTGCCCCCTCTTGTCTTTAAGTCACCAGAGGGACTCAAGCCTGGAAGGATCTTGCAGGACACCCTCCTCCCACACCCTTGTGGTGACCCCCCACTTTCCAAGATGGGCAGTGTTGGCCGTTACTTAGTTGCACCTTCTAGACTTTAGAGAGACTTAAAGGTTCCGCCTCTGAGGGCGAGGAGGTGGGCCGTGGGGGTGCTACCCACTCACAAGGGGACCCAGCCCTGTCCTCAAGGGCCCCAGGCACTCTTCAGAGTCTGCCTGTCACTTGGAGAGGTGAAAGGAGGCAGAGGAGTGGGTTTCAACTTGACTCGTGTTAGGAATGTCACATTAGCACGCAGATGAGAGGGAGGAGAATCGCTCTTTGATGCGGGAGTTTATTTTTGTCACTTTGTCAGAGAGAAATTGCAGCCCGGGGGGCATTGGAGCTGCACAGAATTACCCAAAACATTAACATGCAAATTGCCTTCTTTAGAGAGGGAGGGTAATTTCATTAGTGCACGGAAATCAGGGGAAAAAAAAACAAATAAAAAAAAATTCACCTTGCCAGGGAGCAGTGCTGTCCCGGAGCTGGTTAGGGCCAGGGCACAGGGAGAACCTGGAGCTTGGTTAGGATTTTGCCACCTCAGCACACAGCTGGGTGGAGCTGCAAGTGACTACCTCAAGACCTCACTAGCACAAGAATCAACAGAGAGCCAGATGAGCACTAGGAAGTCCCCGTGGGGCTGGGAAGCCACGGCTCTGAGAATCAGAACACCCCTGCTTGTGTGGACATTCAGTCACCCATTCTTTCTAGATGATTCCTCTGGGCTAAGTCACTGGCCCCAAATGAGAGCCAGGATCCAGCAGAAGGCACCTGTTGCTGGTGGAGAGGGGAGGAAAGTGTGCTGGAGAGATACCAGAGATACCAGGGATGACCACTGAACTTCAGGAGGAACTGTCTCAACAAGGGCCCGCTCAGGGCCGTTAGGACAGAAACCTTTGGACAGAGGGGTAGAGACGGGGGAGGGGGGGCACGACACAGGACACCAGCATACTGTGATAATGATGCCCAGGCCAGGGGGACACTGTGGGGGTGGGGGTGGAGTCGCAGAGGGTGGAGACAGGTCGGCAACAATGCCTCTAAAGAGTATAGGTTCCAGCTTTACTCTGCTGTTGGCAGGTAGCTAACAACCTGTAGGGCTTGCTTGTAACAGAAAAAAACCAAGGCCCTGTGGGATTTTAGGAGGGAGGGTTTCCCAGCCCTGGGTGCCAAAATGACAGAAGGTTCTATGAGGCTGCGATTACATAAGGTTCCCTCCTTCCTTTGCAGCAGCAGGAAAAGCAGGGGCAGAGACGCCCACAGCTACCAAGAAGCACCTAGGTGATGTCAGGTCTCTCCCAGCAGTTGTGTGCAGTCTTCCCAGGAGGCCACCGCTGCCACCGCCCCCAGGCTCAAGATACCTTCCCTCGCCCTTACTTGGATGGCATTGTGACAGGTACCCATGGTGGGGCACAGGGCACTTCGGAGAGCTCCAGTGGTTGTCTTTAGGGAAGCCCAAGGGGAACCGTCGTTGCTATTGGCATTTGGAGATGAGTAATTCTTTGCTGGGGCTGCCCAGGGCATCATGGGAGCTTGGTAGCGCCCTCGGATTCTGTCTGCTAGATGCTGGTGTCAGCTTCCTACTCTCAGTGTGACCAGACAAGCTCACAATCCTGGGGGACTTGGGGTACTAGTTTTAAGCCCTATGACTCTCTGTGGCAATGGAATGAGTGCACCTTAGAAAAGTGGCCCTGATGCTGAGCTCTTTGCTGGATGGTCTTGGTCTGTCTGGAGAAGACATTTTCTGACCCAGACTGGATGGCTGGACTAACTAGATGACTGTTGACTTTCATGTACCCAAGAGTCCACAGAAAGTCTCTGGAGAGCCTCCATGGAGAAATGTCTCTGGGAGACTTGTCACTGGGATGGACCGACTCTCACATGACATTAGATTCTGAAGAAAGTCGGGCCACCTTGGGCATACCACTTCTCGGAAGCTCAGCTTTCTCCTCGGATCTGGGTTCGAAAGCGCACCTTACAGAGGCGGTGGGCAAATGTTACAAGCTTATGGAGGCCTTCCCAGTTTTAGTTCCAACATGTATGGAACTCAAAATCTCACTCCAGGCAGAGCAAACTGAAAAGCAATGACTTTTCTTGAGTTCAGGGGCAAACTGAGAGATCACAGAACCAACTACCACACAGGAAACTGGAGATTCAAGCGACTCAACAAGGAGAGAATCAAGGAGGGACAGAGACACCAGAGCCTGTAACAAAAGAGACGCATTCACGGTACCGGCTGGCTGATGGGAGCTGGTGTGAGCAAGTCCGGGGCGGGTGGCAGTGGTCACACATTCAGGGATGAAGCCCCAAGAGCCCCAGAGGCTTCTCAAGATGCAGACTGGCAGAAGGCCTCCCCCAACCCCCTTTCTGGCAAGGTTGCAAGGGAAGAAACTCTGAAAATATCTAGACCTTCTTACCTAACAAAAGCAAACGCCCCAGGCACCTGGGGCAGGCAATTAGAGAGCTGACCGCACTAACTCCATCCGGCCTGTCCACCCAGAGGGAAGAAACCAGGGCTGAGACGCCCTTGCTAAGCCTTGGTTGTGAACTCTGGCCCTCTGTAAGCTCAGGCTTTTACAGAGCTCTTCCTCCGTGGCACCTTTCCGGGCTAGTTTTATGTCTGCTTGACACAGCTAGAGTCACTGGAGAGAGGGAGCCTCAGCTGAGAAAATGCCTCCATAAGATGCGGCTGTAGGCAAGCCTGGAGCACTTTCTTAACTAGTGATTGATGGGGGAGGACCTAGTCCATTGTGGATAGTGGCATCCCTGGGCTGGTGGTCCTGGGTTCTATAAGAAAGCAGGCTGAGCAAGCCATGAGGAGCAAGAAAGTAAGCAGCATCCTCCAAGGCCTCTGCATCAGCTCCAGCCTCCAGGTTCCCGTCCTGTTTGAGTTCCTGCCCTGACTTCCTTCAGGGATGGACTATGATCTAGAAGTGTAAGCCACCAGGTTGGTCATGGTGTTTCATTGCAGCAATAGGAACCGTGACTGAGACAGCACCCCAGCCCAGCACGCAGTGGAGGATGATCAGGCTCAGTTCAAGAAGGAGTTTTTTAGAGAAACCAAGGCAATGAGGGGAGAAAAAAAAAAAAAAACAAAGAAAGGAGAGGAAACACGGGCCTCTGGCTCTAACAGCACAGCCAGGGCCTAGGCAAGATAAATATAAAACTCCCAGAAACACGGACCCAGGAGGAAGGTAAAAATATTTTGAACGAAATGAAAATGGAAACAGAACTAACTTACTGAAATGTGTGGGTGCTGTGAAAGCAGCGATGTGGTTAGCCAGATTTCCAGCATCAGATACGTATATTCAACAAGAAGTTCCCATGCTGGCTCTGGCTGTGTGCTCCTTTAGACCCAGGACTCAGGAAAGAGGCATGTGAATCTCTGGGGGTCTGGGGCCAAGCCAGTCAGGGCTGCATAGACACCTTGTCTTAGAGGAAAAAGTTTTAATTTCAGGAAACAGGAAAAAGAGCAGATTCAAAATGGCAAAAGAAATGGTGAAAATCAGGAAATAGATCAATGAAAATTAGGCAGAAAATTGATAGAGAAAAATCAATGAAACAGAGAAGCTTATCCTTGGAGGAAAAAAAATCAATAAAATTGATAAACCTCTAGCCAGCCTAACTGAGGAGTAAAAGGAAATCATTGACTACTAATTACACATTACCAGTATCAGAAACCCGAGAGTCCTAATAATTGCGTCAGAGATGTCCTCCCGACCCCAGGGACAGTATTGGGGTAACAATGTAAATTTGGTAATTCAAACGAAACAGACTAGTTCCTGCAAAGATAGAATTTACCAAAATTTACATAAGGAAAACCCATAATCTGATGAGCCTCTTATCTCTTAGAGAAATTCAGTAAAAAATCCAGAGCCTCCCTGAAGGCTCCAGGCCCCAGCGCACTTTCTGCTGAGTTCTCCCCAATGTTTAAAGCAGAAATAATCCTGTTACATTAGAACCTTCTAGAACGTAGAAGGAACTCAGATTGCTTAGACACGTGCTGCTTAGTGTCAGCTCTTTGCTCTTACTTTGGTTTAATTCTCTCACGGTCTGCGAGCAGTTTATCTAACCTTCTACTTAAAGTGCTCAGGCCTGAAGGTGATCCCAGCTCCAGGGAGGCTTCAAGTCCAGTCTGAGCGGTTTAAGGAGAGTTCATCTCAACAAAAGCAAACAAAACAGGGTGGAGAGGCAGCTCAGCAGGAGGACTTGTCTATTGAGTAGGAAGCAGGCCCTGGATTCAACACCCCAGTATTACAAAAAATCAAAATAAAAAACAAATGTTAACGGATGTTTTAGGGCTTAGAGCACACTCAGTTTGGTGACTATCCTGAGGACAGAGAAGGACGTGTGCGCTGGTCTTATTGCGTGACGCCTGTGAGACACGTACGGACGTGCTGTTAGGTGCACCTGTATCCTGACCTGCTTCCCGACCGGCTAGTCATCTGTCGGCTGCTGGTGGGGGTGCTGAGGCTCCCACAATAGCTGCGGACCCCCTCTCCACTGCCGACAGCTGCACTCATGCTAAGCATTTTTACGTGTGGCTGGAAAACTGTTCCCTTTGCTAACCACCCACCTTTGTCCCTGGTGGTTTCCCTAGCTCCAGGGTCTGCTCCAAAAGCACCTGTTCCATCGCAGGAAATGACCAGCTTCCCTCTCTTTCTCGTTACCAGTGTTTTTAATGTTTAAAAGGGATTTCCCTAAATAGCATAGATTTAAGTCCTGTTGGTCTGTCTGTCTGTCTATCTATCTATCTATCTATCTATCTATCTATCTATCTATCTATCATCTATCTATCTATCTATCTATCTATCTATCTATCTATCTATCGGCAGAGTCTCACTATCTAGCTCTGGCTGTTCGGGAACTCAGAGATCCTCCTGCCTCTGTCTCCCAAGTGCTGGGACTAAAGGTGCGTGCCATTACAACTTGATTTTTTTTTTAATCTTCTCAACAGGTTCTGCAAATTAATTGACACAGCTGAGGCTTTCATGTTAGAGCCATGGCTGATACAATTGATTAATATCTATTATGGTTGTAACTGCTTCCTATTTATTGCCTGTGATCTTTCTTCTCTTTTGAAATCTTGATATCTGCTTCCTTTGGATTTAAACAGAACATTTTATACGGACATTTTTTCTCTTCTTTTGGCACACCAATTCTTCTCCAGTTTTTCTCCTTTTCTTCTCCTCTTCCTACCCTTCCTCCTCCCCCTATTCTTCCTTCTTCCCTCCTCTTCCCCCTTTCCTTCCCCTTCTTCCTCCCCATGATTCTCCCCCTCCTTCCCCTCTTCCTCCCTCTCTTCCTCCCCCTCTTCCTCCTTACACACATGGTGTGTGATACCATGCCCAACCGTTTTAAAATTTAAAAATTAATCACTAACCTAGTTTATAACATGCTTAGCTAATAAGCACATTTTTCAAATAGCAATACGTCACTTCACAGAGAAATGAAAAAAAATCTAGGTGACTATGTTTGTCTCTAAAATTTTTTGCTTCAAATTCAAGAGCAAAATCTATTAAAGAAAAAAAAGAGGAAAGTTGGACTTTATTAAAACGAAAAGCTTCCATTCTGATCAACATATTATTTTAAAAGTGGTGTTGGGGTATATCTCAGTAGACAAGCCCTTGCCCAACATACCCAAGACCCGAGCACAAACTCCAGCATGGGAGAGGGTAGAAAAGGAAAGTCAAGAGATGATAGATGGAAAACATCTGCAAAATACACATGGCCAAAAACTGCCTTAAAATGCAACAATAAGAAAATAATTCAAATTTTAGAAAAGGACCAAAGATCTGAATGATCCCTCCCCTAGGAATATATATATCAAAGAAGCATATGAAAATATGTTCAATATTAAAACTGTATAGTGTATACTGAGTTTCAAATTACAACAGTGAGGTAGGTACCACTGCATATCCACTAAGAAGGTTAAGCAAAGGAACAAAAGTCCTCTGACTATTCTAAGTGTTGACAATGGGAAGGCAGTCCCGAGACAGACAGACGAACGGACGGACGGATGGATAATAGAAAGCAGGTTAATCCAGATAGCGGAGAGGGGACTTACTAGGGGTATTGGTTATGCACTTATGGAGGCAAAGGCGTCCCACATCTGACTGTCTGAAGCTGCAGCCCCTGGGTGCAGGGTCTGAGGCTCAGGCCTCAGAACTAGAGAAATGATGTCCAAACTCTCACTCTGAAGCCAAGGGCCAGAGAACTTGCCGAGCAAAGTAGTGTAAGGCCAGGAGTCCAAAACCCAGGGAGGCTGGGGCTCTGATGTCAAGAGAGTAAGAACCAAAGGCAGAGTCCCCACCCCCGCCTTTAAAAATTACAATTACTTAATTGTGTGTGTGTGCATGTGTGCGGGCACATGTGTGCCATCATATAAACATGGAG